AAATTGTGGTTGTGAGTGACAGCCCTTAGCCTCATATAGTTCTGCATTCCCCCTTCAGTTATTGCCTCATTTCTGTTTCCTTTAACACTCTTGAAAGGGTTGTCTATACTCCTTGTTTTCATCATTCTCCTCAACCTCCTCAAATTCAGCTTTCATCCCCACCATTCCATTGACATGGCTCTTATCAAGGCCATCAATGACCTTCATCTTGCCAAATCCAAGGTCCTCTCTTTATTCTATCTTTTTCAATCTCTCAGCATCATTTAACACAGCTGACCATCTCCATTCTTTCTGAGACACCCTCTGGGACACCATAGTCTCTTGGTTTTCCTCCTGCTTCACTGGCAGCTCCTTCTTCTCTACCAGTTCTCTAAGAATTCAAGGATCCCAGGGTTCTTTTTCATATTTTTTCCCCTCTATCTACGCTTTATGTTTAGGTAGTCTTATCCCAAATGAAATGCCACTGATTCCCAAATCTTTATTTCTAGCCCTGACCTTTTTCCCTTAGCTTTTGTTCTGTATATTCCACTGTCTACTGGGATGTCTACTAGGCATCTGTAACTTGTCAAAAACACAACTCCTGATTTTCCCTTTCAAACCTCTTTCTTTATTAGCCTTCCTTTTTACCTGGTTGCTTAAACCAAAAATGTGGGAGGGGTGCCTGGGTGGCTCAGTCGGTTAAGCATCCAACTTCAGCTCAGGTCATGATCTTGCAGTCTGTGGATTTGAGCCTGGAGCCTGCTTTAGATTCTGTGTCTCCTTCTCTCTCTGACCCTCCCCTGTTCATGCTCTCTTTCTCTTTCTCTCTCTCGGAAATAAAAAAATATAAACATTAAAAACAATTTTTTTAAAAATGTGAGAATTGCCCTTGTTTACTTTTCTCCCTACTCCTCCCTACATCCAATCCATCATCAAGTCCTTCCGCCTCGGTCATCAAAATAGCTTACTAAATTTGACTTCTTTTCGCTATCGCCTCTGCTAAGACACTAATCCAAAGCACTTCTTTGATTTAGACTACTTCAATAGCCCCTAGTTAGTGTTCACTAAGTTTAACATGTCAGCCTGAGTAAACATTTCAAAATGTATTCATAAATCAATCACACACTTAACACTCTCCAATAGCTTTCTGTGTGCTACTGGAATTAAAACTCATCTTCCTTATCACGGTCTACAAAGTCCTAGAGGATCTGGCCCCTGCTTACCTCTTCAACCTCATTCTGTTTGCATTAGTCCTCCTGGCCTTCTCTCCATCCCTCAGGTAAGCTCTTACCAATCTCCAGGATTTGGTACTTGCTATTCCTCTGACTGGAATGTTCTTTCCCTGAATCTTCCTGTGGATACCTCTTTCTGATCACTTAGGACTCAGCTCAAATGTCACGTCTTCAGAGCATCCCTATCCTCAGTCATATACTATCCCATTGCTTTATTTTCTTTACAGCAACAAAAAAACAAAATACCTTCATAATAGTATTTTAAAGGATCTTTTTTGATAATATGCTCGATGTCTTTCATGTGGGCCATAGCTGCATGAAGGCAGATGCTCTGTCTTCTTTCTTAGTGTGTCACCACCTAAAGAGTACCTGGCACAGAGTAGATATTTGTTGAACTGAATGAACAGTATCAACAACTGGGTGCCTTCGAGGAAAACTAGCATGCGCTATTCTCTTCTATAAGTGCCAATAACTAGCTGCCTATCATCTTTACAGTAATAAGCTCTTTTTTCTCAGCATAAGTCCCCTCAAAATCAAAATTACTACTTACCTTTGTTGTTTTTTAGTCCATCCATCACCTTGTCTTGCAATCTTTCTATCTTAAAAAATTAAGTGAGGGCACCTGGGTGGTTCAGTTGGTTGAGCATCCGACTCTTTGATTTCAGCTCAGGTCATGATCCCAGGGTGGTGGGATCCAGCCCCACATCAGGCTCTGCCCTAAGTGTGGAGCCTGCTTGGGATTCTCTCTATCCCTGTCTCTCTCCCTCCCTCTGCCCCTCTCCCCTGCTCATGTGCACTCTCTCTCTCCCTCACTCTAAAATTAAAAAAATAGGGGCACTTGGGTGGCTCAGTCAGTTGAGTGTCTGACTTCAGCTCAGGTCATGATCTCAGGGTTCTCTGGAGCCCCACATCAGGCTCAGTGCTGACAGCTTAGAGCCTGGAGCCTGCTTCAGATTCTGTGTCTCCCTCTCTCTCTGCCCCTCCCGCCCTCAAAAATAAACATTAAAAACTTTTTTTAAATAAAAAAATAAATAAATGTATCCTGTACAACTAAAATATTTTCCCTTTTCAGATATGGACTGAACCTTTCAAAAGAGGGTTCCACTACTTTAAAAAAATGTGAAAGGGTTAAAACAAATCTTTAGGAAGGTAAGATAATAAAACCCATAGCTTAGTCATATGACAAATTAAAAAAGCCCTGGAAATAAATATAAACATGCTGTCCTATTAATGAGGAGATTTAAATAAGTCAGTCTTTGAAAAATAAAAGATAACAATTAGTTCAAAATTCTATAGTTGTTACTAAATCTCCTTAGGTACAACTTGTGAGTTTACAGATTGGAGTGGTTTTAGAACTGGTCCTAAGTACTGCAACTGGGACAGATTCTGTTCGGTCCAGAACTCTTCAGTAGACAAACATTATTATCCTCTATTAAGTTCAAGAGGCATTTAAAACCAATCAATTTCTGAAGGTGGAATATAAACAAATAGACACAAAATATTTTCCCTTCCTATTTGGCATTCACCTTCCTAATGAATTCTTAAACATCTGTGCTCAGTTCTCCCTTACAGTTCCGGTATTGGGGGTTGTAAGGTTAAATTCGTCTAAAAACTAAATTAAAAAATTTCCCTGGTACCAAAATGGGCAAGAAATCTCGCCTCCTTTCTTTTTACTCAGCAATTCCTTTAGAAAAATCGAAATTACAAATGATGTCTTTGAGATGTATGTATACCTTTTAAAAAGCTAAATAAGCCTCTTGCCAGTTTTGAATCCCTCTAAGGTCTTTCTTAGGGGCCTTGAAATTACCTCTTTGAAACGCAAGCACCAAGGAGGACTCTGTCCCACCTCTTGGTCTTTGTGGGATTTTAAACCCCAACTGTTGGCTTCCAGATGTAACTTCGTATTATTTTTTTCCTTTGGATAAAGACAGCAGGTCGGTGGTGGATTATATCTGCCTGGCTACATAAACAAATGAGGGTTGTTATGGTTTTTTTTGTTTGTTTGTTTGTTTGTTTTGTGGGGTTTTTTTTGTCTTTACAATGTCTTTAGTGCATCACATGTTTTAATGCTTATTCAATAATAAAATTGTTTCATTCTTTCCTACTTTTAGCGGAGAGGATATTATGGAGTTGGTAGAAGATTTTATTTTTATTATTTATTATTTTTATTTGTGCGAGAGATCGAGTGATCGAGAGAGCGAGAGAGCGAGGTAGAGATCACCCAAGCGTGGGAGAGGAGCAGAGGGAGAGAGAGAATCTTGAGCAGGCTCCACGCTCAGAGCAGAGGTCAACAAGGGGCTCAAGCTCACGACCCTGGGATCATGACCTGCGCCAAAACAAGAGTCAGAGGCTCAAGGGACTGAGCCACTCAGGTGTACCAGGAGATTTTATTTTTAATGATTTCCCCAACTGGGTCCTCCAGTTGCAGCACTTGTATACCTGGCTGATAATCCCCATGCCCCCTCCACACTCGTCTTAGGCAGTAAGGTATAGTGCAAAGACCACGGAATCAGACAACCCTGGGTTTAACCTGTGCTTTTCATTTTACCAGAACGTAACGTCTCTGAAGTATTACTTCTTTTTTTCTCTGAAGTATTACTTAACTTCTCTGAACCCCTATTAACCTCATTTACAAAATTAGGACAATAATACGTTTTAAATGAGGTAAATAAACGGACACACAGGAGGTTCTTAGCACTCGAACGAAACAGAGTTATACCACACTGCCTCCACACACTAAACGTGTGTTTCACTCCCCCTCTCCTCGTGGGTATCTGTCAAATCCCAGGATAGCGTTTACCTCACTAATCTCGAGCACACTGCGTTAAAAGGCAACGAACTCGCAGTGAGGATCTTAACAGCTGAAAAAGTTTTAGTAGGTAAAGCTGACAGAGCCCTCGCAATTCAAACAGAATGGGGGAAAATCAGGTTGCGGGGGTCCCCAAATGCAAATACGTGAATTACAAATGAATACAGGCGACAGCGCTTCCGCACTTCCTCTCCATGGCTCTTCATCAGGACACCGCCCGCCGACGCGGGGGCGAAGATTTGCATGTGCGAAGTTGGAAAGAGGCGGGGAACCACCCATCGAAAACCCCGGCCGCCGTCCCCCGGGGCCCCGGAAAGCCAGCCCCACTTCACCGCCCGGCCCGCCCCCAAGTGCTCCGGTGCGGCCGGCCCCCTGGACGTCACTGCACCTTCCCACCCTCTTCTGAACTTTAAACCACGCGCCTCAGAACAACCTGGAGGAGGGGGATTTCTTCCGAGCCGGCGGCTTTCGCACTTTCTCAGAACAGTCACCGCCCGGCTCCCAGCGTTCCCCGCGCTCCCGAAGATCCCGCCTCCCACTGTCCAGACCCAATCTCAAAGCCCTGGGCTGCAGGGGGCGGGGCGCGGGTAGGGGCGGGGCGGAGCGCGGGCCTCCGGGACGCCCCGCCTCTCCGCCCCCGGGGCAGGCGGCGGTGCTGGGGGTCTACGTCAGCCGCGGGAAATCCCCTCTCCTAGCTGTCCGCCCTACGGCCTGGCCGGCCTGTGGCTCTGGCGGCGCTCCGCCCCCTAACCCTGGCTCCCGCACCTAGGAAGGGCGACTCTGCGTGATCTGAACGCGAGAATTAAGGGGGTGGGAAGGTGTGAGCCGCAAACTCCGAGGAGGGCGGGAAGGAGGAGGAGGCCCCGGGGGGTGATCAGGGGAACAGGGGATCCGTCGGCAGAGTCCGTCGGCCGCCGGACCGACGCGGGCTGATCGCGGAGGTCTCGGGTCTGGACGCTTGGAGCGGGCGGCGCGGTGAGCGGAGCCATGGCCTCCGGTGAGTGTTCCAGGCGCGGGTCCGGACCGGGGGAAGGAGCTCCTCCGGACGTCGGAGTTTCGGGGGTCCCAGTTTTGGTTGTGCGCGTTATGTCTTTAAAATCGTCTCATCTGGCAAATTGTCAGCCTTTAACAAGTTCCCCGGCTCAAGGTTTGCGTGCGAAATCAAAGTCACGCTCTGTAATTTGATGCCAACGATTTGATTTTTAGGATTAGGGAAGTAACAATTACCTAAATAAAGGAGGACGGATAGTTCTCGTATTTAGAAGTTGTTTTATGTTGAAATGGTGGTGTTATGTTTTAGAACAGGAATGAAGAAGCTTCAGACCTCAGGAGTGCGCTACTTTTTTTTTAAAGTTTAATTTCATCAAGTGCCGAGAGGTGATCACTGATGTGTTGACAGTTGTACAAAATGTGGTGCGGCTTTAAAAGTCACCAGTGGTATCCCAACAGCTTTTAAGTGGAAACGTTGCTTGAACAAAGTGGATAGTTTCTACTCTAAAGCGCGTTCTTTCTGTTTTACGGAAAAGTCATTTTTTTTCTTTATTGGAAAGGAGTATTAAAACACCGGTGCTTTTAAAATAGGAGCAGGAATGAAAACTGTGCATCACTAATGTAGAAACTGATTTTCAGTTAATAGATGCGTCGATTTCTTGCTTTGGAGGGAAACGGCTTTATCAAAAAACAGGTTAGAGGACAGGGGAGGGAGTCTCAAGTATGTAGCCGTGGTTTAGATCTGTTTGTAACCTAAAGGGAAGTAAATCGAGTAGATTGTTCCAGTTGGACCTTTACAGGATGCTGGCAAGTTTCATGAGGACGTTTCCCGGCAGAGGGAGCAGCTTGAGCAAGGCTGGGAGGCCTTATCGATAGTATTAAGTTAGCGCTGTACTAAGTGGCAGAAGAGGGGACCTTGTTTTTGCTTGACCCGCGTCCTCCCAAGTCCCTGATTCAGTGACCCTCAGAAGGCTGATATCTAGCAGAGAAGAGGAAGTAGAAAGCATTAAAGGATTTTTTTTTAAGGGTTGAGCAGAACAATGCCATAGCTACTGCTGTAGGCCGAAAAGGAAATTGGGGTGGTTCACATGACATTTGATTTCACTTTGTCTGTGGTTTTCATGTGAGAATACAAGTGTAGTTTAAAATATTTCAACTTTCTCTTTACCCACGTCAGTGACCCCAAACTTTAAGATAATTTTGTAAATTTATAACTTCAAAGCACATTTAGAATAAAAATGCAAAGATGATCTGAAATATTTGGCTAATTTATTATTGGTTACCAGAAAGATTTTGTGTGAAAGTAGTAAAGGTGAGCATTATAAATAAAAAAGGTCAGACTGCTGTCAACTTACACAAAATTCGTTAATATGTGGCTTGAATACAATACTTCTAATTACTTTACAAGGGAGAAAAGAACCATTTACACAGAGGGTAGCGTAAGCCCCACAGCATTCAGGAAGACGATACAATTTAAATTTGTTTAATGGCACTGTATTTTGTGCTGTTGTGAGAGCTGATTCCCTAAATTGAAGGGGAAGAAATTTAAAGGAATGGAAAGCTGTAGAGCAGTTATCTCTTTTTTTGTTTTTGTTTGTTTTCTGTTTTTTTGTTTTTTGTTTTTTGCCTTTTCTGGAGTTGCATTAAAATGGGACTATTTAAAATATAACAAGTTATTTGGGGTGCCTGGATGACTCAGTTGGTTAAGCGTCCAACTTCCGCTCAGGTCATGATCTCACGGTTGGTGGGTTCTAGCCCTTCGTTGGGCTCTGTGCTGACATTTCAGAGCCTGAAACCTGCTTCGAATTCTGTGTCTCCCTCTCTCCCTCTGCTCCTCCCCTCACTAGTACTCTTTCTCTCAAAAATAAATAAATTAAGTAAATAAATTAAAATATAACAAGTTATTTAAATTGGAATTCAGTTGTTTGAAAACTGCCAAGGAAATTTTTAAAAAGGAGTCTGGGTATATTTTCTTAATCACTTGTAAAGGCCTTAGAGAAAAAGATGCAGTAATTACAAATTCTTTTCCTGTTTTGAAACAGTAATTGAACCGAAAGAGTAATAGGAGAAAAATTTTTGCTTAGTTTATCTTTGTTTAGTTTAGATTATTTGTAGTAAGGTAGTGTTGGAACCTCAAAAAGTATTTTTATTGATTACCAAGCACTTTAGACCATGTCTTTATTTCTCACCGGATGTCATATGTAAATAGGTATGTGTAGTTGCTTATGTTATCTGTGTAACGTAAAAGTAGGAGACCATAATCTCATAGGCAAAATTATATAACTACCATGAGTAACTGGGACTTTGATATGTTTATGATTCTAAATTTTGTTCAGGTAAATTACCAAATTAATTATTTAGGATTTCACAGATCAGGTTCTATTAAGTTGTCTTTATTGCTTGTTTGTTTGTTTGTTTGTTTGTTTGTTTTTAACACGTTGATTTTTCTGTCTTTTGGCACAATTAATTAGAACGGGTATTGCTAAGAAGAATGTTCCTTGTCCACTTAGGGTATGCGTAGGCAGTCATTACTCTTGTATATTTATGATTCTGTTTTGCTTAACATAAGCAAAATTAGCTATTTTATGTCTGAACTTAAGGCTTCTCATTGTTCCAGTAGAAAGTACGGAATGCTCTTATGCACACATAGGTCTGTTTCCTAATAAGCAGTACTGTCTTTGGTAAAATATGTTTTAATATTTAGATAATTGATTTTTATTCACAGTTTTCTTAAGTATAGTTCTGTTGTGTCATACAATAGGAAGTACATGAAGAAGTTGTTTTTGTAAGCCACAATACTTCCAACTCTGTGGTGTGAGTTTCAAGAGAACTATAAGTATTTCTCTTGAGTAAGGGGAAAAAAAATCAGTGTAGGTATGATGCAACTTAATCTTTAACGATAAAGCTGGAAGCTGGAATTGGCAACTAAAGCAAATGACTTTTTTAAGTAGAAGACTGCACACTGTAAACACGAAGGCTGTTTCAGACTTGCCACCCATGAAAACGTAGAGACAATAGTGGTATGAAAGAATGAAGCTGCTGACAGAATGAAGTGGTATGATAGAGTGAAGGCACTGAGTGAGTGAAATGGCTAGGGAGGAATCATGATGAATCATAATTGGTACCATCTGGGGTGTGCGTAGTATCTTTCCCAAATACAACTTAGGAGGCTCAGCATTTCCTTTTGTCCTGTCCTTCTCTCATCCGCGTTCTCTGCAAAGGATTGTGTTTGTAGGCACATGACCCAAATACTTGCATGGGACATACTTATACTAAAAACCAGTCAATATTTGTTTAATACTTTTTAAAATTGGCATCCTGTAATGTTTAGTTTTAAATTTGGCAGGCTTTTTTTAAAAATTTATTTATTTATTTATTTTGAAAAAGAGCATGCGCGCTCAAGCGGTGTAAGGGGCAGAGAGTGAAGATACAGAAATCCCAAGCAGGCTCAGTGCTGTCAGCACAGAGCCCATCCGTGGGGTTTGATCCCACATACCGTGAGATCATGACCTGAGCGGAAACGAAGAGTCAGTCGCTTAACTGACTGAGTCACCTAGGTGCCCCTAAATCTGGCAGTCTTAATCAAGACAGGTGATTTGGTATTGCCATTTATTTTCAATTTAGTTAAACACCTGAGTAATCTGGGACAGATTTTAAATATTTCTCTACTTTTTCATCCCAGAAGTTAAAATTTTTTTCGAGATCCTCCCTGCCCCCCAACACAGTGAAATCTCTAGCACTTACCAACTCTTACATCTTTTATTTACCTTATGCTGCATACATCAGTCAAATACACATCCAAAACTTTCCTTACTTGGATTCTTAAGGCCCATTTCCGAGTCAGCCTCAGATATTGGAATAAATCTGGACGTTAGCCCATAATGAAGCTGGTTTTATTCCAGTTCTGCTACTCTGTGAGATAAAAATGAGAGAATAACTATTAGAAAGGCTTGTTTTTAGGAACCCATAAATACCCATCAATGTTAGTTTTCTTATGTAGTGGAGCTGTTTGGGGACCCAGACCTCTAGGAAATGGGACTTTCTAGAGGTAGTTTGAGTATCCTGACATTCTAGAATTCTGTGAAACCTTAAAAACTTACAATAATAGGCTAGAACAGATGCTAGATAGAAAATAGTCTTTCAAGAATATATAAGACTACCCATTTACTTTTAAACAATTTGAAATGGTTTTCTGTATTTTTAAACTAGGGGAGAAGAATTTAACAGTGATGTTTGGAGGCAGTGTATCTTTTCTCTGTTGTCCACTTAAATGATACTGAACATTCTGAAAAGAAAGTAAATAAAACATTTCTTAGTAGATAAATTGTCCTTTTGCTAATGATTGATATAACTTATCCTTCATTTGATTTCTTTTGCACCTTCTGTGTTACTCTCTTTCTATCCTGTGGGAATAGGCTTAAGTTTTCTTTGCCCCTTTGTTAACTGAATGCCATTCTATGTGAGAAATGGTAACTCTAAATTTTGATCATAATTAGGAAGAAACGGAAAAGCTCACGTGTGTCTTAAGGTAGAGAAGATTATCACCACAATTCAGTTGGGTTCCTAGATTTGAGGAATGACAAATCTTTTCTTTATCTCCAAAGTGAGTGAAGGTGATATTTAGGAAAGTGTATATTGTTAGCTCCATTTCCTCCTTTGACTCTCAGGCAGTCTGTTATCCAGTACTTCTGTAAGAGAGATGCGGTCTGTAGTCAGTTATTCTCAGCTGTGGTGTTGACATTTTAGTGTGTTATCATTTGCTTGCTGTATTGTAACGAGTCTTACTAATGATAGTTAAAATATTAGTTTTGCAAACAATTTACCATTTAAATAGATCGCTGTGATTGGAGACCATCCCATCATAATGCCTTTTTTCCCTTGCTTATATTTGGCTAAGCTTCTTAGACTGGGAGAGAAAGAAGACTTAGAAGTTGTCAGAATTCCTCTGCCTAGTTTGTCTATCACCCAGCTCATACTTGTATATGAATTTTTGGACTGCTCTCTAGA